AAAGAATCGGTGGAGGACAGGGCAGGGCACCCAGGCTCCACCTGAGCACACAGACTGTGATGGAGTTTCTATGGGCCCAAAAGGTAGGTGGGAGTGGGGGATGGCGACACCTCTGTTCACCAAGCAGGTGTGGGGTATAAGAGTAACAAGAGGAATGTTGTACCTTTTCTGCCTTGCGGGTCTGGAGTGTCCTTGGGGTTGTTGGAAAGCAGAACTTGTTCTCAAGCCCCAGGAATCTTCAAGAGCACTGTCTCTTTAAATATCCAAAATAGTCAAGCCACTTTTAAACCTTCAAAATGGCAGCATCTCCTGACTGGCAAAAGCCCACAGCTCAGCCTGCCTTTCTCTTCACCTTCTTCATTTATTCCCCAGACCCCGTGCACAGTCCTCTGTGCAGACCCTGGCTAGCAGGGCTGATTTTTAGGTTAATTCTTAGGTCCTACCACCACTCAGGAATCTCCAAACTGTCTGTGCCGTTAGGATCGCTGCCAGACTGCAGCTCTGTATGTCTCCTTTTTTGGTATTTTCACGCAAATTCTTCTGCTAGTTGGGGTTTAGTCCACTTCTATATCTTTCCCTTCAAGGCTCAGGGGTCCAGGATTATCTTCTGTGTCTGTGTTAATTGGTTTCCCTTTTCTTTGTTGAAGAGGGTCTGTGCAGTCTTTCTGCCTAGTCTGCCATCTTTGTCCTCTAGGTACACTCTTTAGAACAATCGATCATGGGAGATCAGAAGGGCAGTATTTTCACAGGGAGATAGCTCAGATGGGAGGAATGCATAGGGAAGAAGGACACAGGAAAAAGGTAACCACAGGGAGGAAATGGGAAGAGAGCTGTTACACTGTGGGGATTATAGTTAATGGCCTGAAACAAAATGTGTATGAACTGTTGAATAGAAAACTAATTTTTTCTGTAAACTTTCACCCAAATCACAATTTAAGAAAAAAAAATAAGTTATAAACTCTAGAACAGAACAATTGCAGTTATTATTACTTAAAAATAAATTTGTTCATCCAGAAAACCCAATTAACTAAAAAATATATAGGAATTAATTAAGGGTATCTTAATCAATAATGTACCTAAGTAAAGATAAATACACGAAAATTAACAGCTTCCTTAAAATCATAATATATTATTAGAAGATAAGAGTTAAAAATAATAAAAAAAAAAAAACCTCACTGCCATCAAGTCAGTTCTGACTCACAGTGACCCCTCCTTGGGTTTCCGAGGCAGAATCTGTATGGAAGTAGATTTCCCAACCTTCCTTCCAAGGAGTGGCTAGTAGGTGTGAACCGCCAGCCTTCTGGTTAACAGTCAAATGCCTTAGGCACTATGCCACCAGAGCTCCTAAGAGTTAAAAAGAGGTAATAAATGCACATATTTATCTCTGCTTCCCCCCAAGATCCACTACAATAATGATAAAGGAATAAAGAGAAGAATTCATAATGACAGAGAGTGGAAGAGGAATCACAAGTAGTCAACAAAATTTGGAAGCTGCAATATTGGATGAGTGGTAACTGACTTAGCAGAACTGAGAAAATGGGAATCTAATTGACAGCAGTTGGAGGGGGCAGGGGTAGTGAATTAAAAGCAGAATGCTGCAGAACCCCAGCAAGCTCACAACTCAGACATACCTGTTACCTCTGAAAGTAGGGGTGTAGGTTATAAGAGGAGAACTAGCTGAAAGTTTTATGAGTACCTTTCAGAGTTTACCCATCCCCTCCTCACCCTCCTATAAGCAGGCAGCAGCTCCTACGGCACCACTGCAGAAAGGAGACTTATATCCAAGAGCTTTGTACAGCCAAACTGAAAACAGGGATATCCAGGGAACAAATCTATACCAGAGAGATGCCCAGACCTCCTTCCCCACTTGGGCCCCTAGAATGCTAGCTAGCAGTTGAGCTTCTATTTCCCATACATTAAAGGCAGAAATTAGAGAAATCCTTTGTGAGGAAATGGACTGGCCCAATAGAAAAGATCTATGGGTAATGAAAATATGTGCATGCTCCAATGAAAAAATGCCCTTCAGTGAAATTCACCAATCACCAAGCCCTGCACTACAGAGCTAGGTGATTTTTTTTTAAGTCCAAGTAGTGCTACCATATAATAAAACATATAAAGCTACAATAATTAAAACAGTGTGGTTCCAATAAAGGACAAGAGAACTCATTGGAATACAATCAAGATTTTAGAAACACGTTCATAAATTTAGTATTTGATAAAGTTGGCTAAAGGAGTTCTGGTGGTGTTGTGCCTAAAGCATTTGACTGCTAACCAGAAGGTTGGCACTTCAATCCCACCAGCCACTCCCCAGAAGGAAGATGGGGCAATCTACTTCCATGAAGATTTACTGCCTCACAAACCCAATGGGGCTTACTATGAGTTGGAATCAACTGGAAGGCATTGAGTTTGTTTTTTGGGATTTTTTTTTTTTTTTTTTTTTTTTGGTTTAAAGTTGGCTTTTCAAATGAGTGAAAAAGAATGGGTTAAGTTCTAGTGATAATTAAGAAAAAACAGATGCCTCCCTCATGTTGCTGTCATTAGTTGTTACTGAGTTAGTTATAACTCACAGCAACCTCATGTGTGCAGAGTAGAACTGCTCCATAGGGTTTTCAAGGCTGGGATCTTTCAGAAGTGGATCCTCTCACTTCTGGGTGAATTTGAACCACTAATCTCTCAGTTAGAGTTGAGCACTTAACCATTTGCACCACCAAGGGACAAACCTACTTCTTGATAGTCTCAAAATATGTTAATATTAATCCCAGATGGATTAATTATGTAAAGGTACATAATAAAACTTACAAAAGTACTAGAAGAAATATACCAGTACCAGTTGCCCTTGAGTTGAGTCCAACTGGTGATGATCCCATGTGTGTCAGAGTAGAACTTGTTTTCAATGGCAAATTTTGTTTCAGTAGATTGCCAGACCTTTCTTCTGAGGCACTTCTGAGTGAACTTGAACCTCCAACCATTCAATTAGCAGCTGAGTATCTTAACTGTTTATACAACCCAAGAGGAATTTCTAAGATTGATAAAAATTTAAGAAGCCATTAAGGAAAAAGTTGATAAATATGAACAGGAAGGAGTTAACATCCTGTACAGTCAAAGATATTTTAGAAGAGATTTCCACTTCTGGTCATGATGGAGTAACTGGACCAGCCTTTTGCTGTAAGCATCTGAAAAACTGGACAAAATATGTGCAACAATTGTTTTCAAACATTGAACCACAGGCAGAGCAAAACTACAAGCCCTGAGTTCCTGAGACAGGGAAGCCAATTTGGGGGTGGGGGCACTATGACCCCTCAGATTTCTTCTAGAGTGCCTTCCAGACCACAGTGCAGGGAGGGTGTCTCAAACAAGGCATGACAATCTTACCAAGCTAAGCAGAGAGATATGGGAGTTTGGGGAGACTGAGAGCACTCTGGGGCAGAGTATGAAGGAGGGAACTCTGCAGAGAAAAAGCTCCAGAAATTTGCATAGGATTCCCTGTGTATGCATAATGTTATGGATTGAATTGTATCACAAAAAAAAATATGTGTGAGCTTGCTTAGGCCATGATTCTCAGTATTATATAATTATCCTCCATTTTGTGACCTGATGTAATTATCCTAGGTGTTGTAAATCCTAACGTCTATACTGTTAATGAGGCAGGACTAGAGGCAATTATGTTAATGAGTCAAGATACAATCATGATTAGGTTGTATCTTGAGACAGTCTCTTCCAAGATATAAAAGAGATTAAATAAGGGAGCAGAGAAGAAGGGCCTGACTATCACCAAGAAAGAACAGCTGGGAGCATAGTGCATCCTTTGGATCCAGGGTCCCTGTGTTGAAAACCTCCTAAACCTGGGAGAAGATTGATGCCAAGACAAACACTGGGCCCACAAATGTTGAAAGGAAACAAGGACCTTCCTCTAGAGCATACAGAGAAAGCAAGCTTTCCCCTAGAGCTGACACCCTGAACTTGGACTTATAGCCTCCTAAACTGAGAGAGAATAAATTTCTGTTTGTTAAAGCCATCCACTTGTGGTATTTCTGTTACTGCAGCACTAGACCTTGTAGATTTCATCCTACTAAGACACGTAGGATGGGATCTACAAGGTCAGGCAAAGAACTGCTCTAAAATTCTCATTCTTGGCTGTGTTGGCACAAAGCTGTGCTCCTGGTAGGACAAGTGGAGAGTCCAAAGACAGCGACCTGCCTCTGAGAGTTAACAGTGTGGAGATGTGATGTGGCCAACCGACAAGATAGAAAGAAAAATAGGAAGTCTTTGGAGTGAGTTGAGTCTCCTGGTAGTACCAATGGTTAATGAGCTCAGCTGCTTACCAAAAAATTGGAGATTTGAGTCTACCCAGAGGTAACTCAGAAGAAAGGCCTGGCAATCCAGTTCTGGAAAATTAGTTCTGTGGAGCACAGTTCTGCTCTGATACACACAGAGTTGCCTTGAGTAGGGATCAACTAGATGGCAATTGGTTTACTGATTGGAATGGGTTTAAGGGCTAATAAAATCTAACTCCAGCCCCATCTGCACACAAAGGAAATCCAGGTAGTAACCATAATGACTATGACTTCCTGGGATGTTGTAACCCTTACTACCTGTAGTTTGTCAAACCTCTGCTGGTTTTCAGTGAACTAACTAAAAGTTACTAGCTGTAAAGTTCTTAAATAAAGGCACACCCATTTCAGGACAGAAGGACACCGAGAGAAAGAGAACCAGTCCAGGCAGAAGAGAGTGGTGACTGTCACAGAAACAAGCAAGCACAAAGCTTTAGTTCATTCAACAAGTATTTATTGAAGGCCTGCTGTCTGACAGGCCTGTGCTGGTGCTGAAGGGGGTACAGAGAGACTTGATGCAGCTTGTCCTTTGTGGAGTGGATGACAAACAGATGCTGGGCTACAAGGCAGGAAACACAAAAGACAAGTGGAAGGCCCCAGAGAACAAATTGAGTCCAAGTGTGGCCAAGATGTCATGGAAGAGGAAGACCCTTCATCTCAGCATTGCTCTCAAGCCACACTCTGGCCAATGGGCTTCTTGCAGACCCAGTGGTAGGGGGTATCACAGAGTATGTCATTCCACATCTGCTGCATATGGACACAGTCCTCAGTCTGTCCATTGTTGTGTAGCCAGTTGTCCGGCTGATTCCTGCCCCAAAACCTGGAAACCAAAGGGCTTTATTCAGCTAGATAAAGACAGTGGCTCTTCTACCTGTTGGGGGTATATGGAGCTAAAGTGATATGGGTCCCCAACAATTTGTGGGCACAGGATGGGGATAGAGCTAGGACAAGGGGTGCCCTGAAGTTGGCTACACTGAGGTCACCCTCAGCTACTGAGGGCTCAGGGACGAGAATGGGAGGTGTGGTCTATGAAGCTGCAATTTGGGAAAAGGAGAGGGTATGAGCCCTCCCTTTTAACCTTCATCAAGAATTCACACTCAGATCCCTACAGATTAGGCCCTTCACAAACAGGCCTGAGCAGGAAAGAGGATGGGGGCGGGACAGGAAAACCAACTCACAGGCTTCCTGCCAGGCCTCACCCCAAGACCTGTCCTCTCCTGACACTCCTCTGGGAATGGGTCCAGCCAAGGATCACACTAGGCCTGTGTACACACACACATGCACATACATATGCATGTACACACATGCACATATACATGCATGCATGCATGTGCACACATCCAAACATGCACACACACACACTGGGCAGGGATAGATACATGTAAGACAGCACCTCGGACAGCACCAGACAGCACTGGACTCACACTTTGCTCTGGGAGGCACTGAATGGCGTCCCATCCACCCAGCGCCAGGAGCCCTCTGTGCCCCTATCAGTGAGGCCAATCCAGTGGTAAAAGGTGTCAGTGGACTTTCTCAGAAAAGTCTGTAAAGAAAAGGCAGAGTTGTTGGTTCTTCACGTAGTATGGAAGAGAAGTCCATGCAATTCCCTCCCTGGTGCCAGGTCATGAAGCCCACTTCTCTATAGAAGGTGTGGATTACCCAATAAGTAAAGCAAGCATAGGCTTACTTGTGCTTATTTACTAATATGTAGTGAACAATTTCATATGTTTCTAACCCCATTAAAGATCTGAAATGAAGTAAAGATCAGATTATTAAGTAACTGCAAGTAAGCCCGTGCTTACCTTGGTTGGTTGGTATGTGCCGTCAAATCGAACCCGACTCATAGCAACCCCTCCTTGGGTTTCCAAGGCAGTATTACTACACTACAGAAGTAGATTGCCCCATCTTCCTTCCAAGGAGTGGCTGGTGGGTTTGAACCGCCAGCCTTCTGGTTAGCAGTCAGGTGCCTTAGGCACTATGCTACCAGTGTTTACCTTGCTTGTTGGGTAATCCACCCCGCTCTACAGCAAGGCCCCTCAGGGGAAATCCAGCTTCCTTCATATTTACTGTCCCTAAATTGTCTCAGCCCTTGATGAGGGTTGTGACTTTACTGGGAGGAGACAGATCTGGCCACAGCTTGTTAAGATGTGTTTTACAAAGTAGCATACCCTTTGATAGACCTATAACAACAGTCTCAGAAGAGTCACATGGAGTGGGCCGTTTTGTTGGTTGAATTGGTCCTTTCATAACCCCAACAAGTTCTGATGAGGACCCTCAGCATATTAGATACCCTGGGACTATATTGCCTTTGTGGTCCTCAAACTCACATGTGTGCCTGGCATTCCCAAGAAACCCGGCTCTCCTGCTTGCAGGCTCTCCATGACTAACTGACATTAAAATCAAGACTGCTGACTGGAAATGATTCCTGAGAGGAGAATGAGGGGGTAGGGAGGGACACTTGGCTCCCCAATACTTCAAGCATCCTCTTTAAGTCCGTCAGACCACCCCAAGCCCTCAGCTCTGACCTGCTCTTCCTCAGACGTCACTGATGCCAGGTGGGCTCTCTCAGACACACAGAACCTCTCAGCCTCATCCCAAGACTTCTTCTCATTAGAAAAGTAATACAAATTCCCACTGTAGACCTTCCAGCCTTCTAGGATCAGCTGGAGAAGTTGATCTGGAACAGAGGTTAGGGAGGAGAGAGAACCAGGCTAAAGATGAATATGTGAAGCTGACTTTCCTGTCCTCTTCTGTAGCTGACCACTGTGGTTTACAATCCCATGCAATCTTTGATGCCAAGTTCTCTAGGTCTGATGAGCATGCACCCCCATTTCGCTTCTCAGTACTCCAGGGAGTAGCAGCTATGAGACATGGGTTCAGTCACTCCTGAGACACTCAGACAGCTCTGATACCCAGACAACACTGTTTCAAGACTCGTGCTTTCTGGTCATACCACTCTCTTCTCTAACTCATTGCTGTCACCTTACAGTCTTCTCCAATTCAATTCCTGCCATCTTCCTGGGAGATTTTACATCTATCCCATGACCTTGCTCATTTCCTTGACTTTATTGCCATCTTCTTCAGCTGTCCATACCTATGACCATACCTGGAACTTTGTCATCACCTAGTCTGTCTGACCGAGAGCTCTGGTGGCATAATGCCTAAGGCATTTGACTGCTAACCAGAGGCTCATGGTTCAAACCCACCAGCCACTCCTCAGAAGGCAAATTGGGCAATCCACTCCTATAGATATACCACCTCGGAAACCCAAGGGGCATGACTATGAGTCGAATCAACTCGGTGACAATGAGTTTGGTTTTGGTTAGTCTGACCTCACAATTTCCAAAATCAGTGAGCATGGCCCCAATTCTCTCAACTCTTTCATCCTTCCCTACCACCCCACTCTTTAACATCATCTATACCACATCTGCTTGAAATGGCCCATAACAGACTCACTTATTCATTAATTTGTTTTTTGTTCAACATTCATCATTCAACATTCCTTAACTTCTATGAGCCATGTACTGTGACACAAAGACCAATAAGACATAATTCATCACTTCCAATAAGCTGGCAGAATTGGCAGACAAGGTATCTAGACCCTCGACAATAAAGAAATGAGAAACCAATTGAAACAGATATAGATAATAATCCTGGACCCCTGACCTTTGAAGGACAAGATAAAGAAGTGGATCAAATACCAACTAGTAAAAGAAACTGAATGAAAACAGAAAATAAGAAGACAAACAGAGCCATGGACTATTGACTGGCCTGATGGTGCAGCCCTTTGAATAATCACAAGTGGCATTCCAATCAGGGCAGTAACCTGTTAATCAGCTCTGCTTGCCAAGGACTGTGTGAGCACCCACATTGTTGGCTGGTAACCAGAAAGGTGCAATATTCTTGTATTCCACATCTCCCAGTGACCAGCGGTGCAGCCATTCCCCACCTCCACCCACCTTCTGAAGCAGCAAAAATTCCATCTCAGACTGGGTGTCCTGCCCCTAGCTGCCTCTGAGCAGGCAGGAACTGGTTCCTGGACCAGGTGCCCTGCTCCTGGCCACCTTTTGGGCTTGCAGGACCTTATTCTGGGATCAGGTATCCTACCTCAGTTGACTTTTGGGATGGCAAGAAATTCTTCTTCTGGGAGCAGACACCCAACCTCCAGTTGCTTTTTGCACCAGGAGGAACTCCTTCAGAGATGAGGTGCCGTGCCCACAGCTGTCTTTTTGGCTGGCAGGAACTCATTCTAGAACCAGATGCCATGATCCCTGCTGTCTGTTCAGCCAGCAGAAACACCACCAGGATGCTCTGTCTTCCCCTCCCCCACCTCCACCCCCAGTTTGCTCTCTCTGTGTCTTTTTTGGTATTTTTTTTTTTTTTAAAGTATTCCTTTTCTTTCTTTCTTTTTTTTTCTTTCCCTTCCCTTGTTCTTGGAGTTCCCCTTCTTTCTTTTTCTCTTTTTGTGTTCTTCATCACTTGTTTCCCTTTTTACCTTTTTCTTTACTGTTCTCTTTCCCTTATTCTCTTTTCTTTTTCCACACTCCACCCCCAGATTTTGTTGTTTTTTCTTTTTCTCTTTGTAGTTCACTTGTTTTTTTTTTTTTTTCTTTTTCATTTATTTCTTTTCTTTTTATGGTTGTTCTTGTTTGTTTGTCTTCTCCTACTTACTTTCTTTTTCTTTTCTTTATTTATGTTATTGTGCTTTTTGTACGTTTTGTTGTCTTGTTTGATTTTGTTTCCCTTTTTGTTTATTTTGTTTTATTTTGTTTTGGTTTTTTTGTCCCACCAGCTGGGAGATACTAACCACACAACCCAATCACAACTGCACCTCCTGCAGACCCACCACCAGCCTCTGCAACAACTGATGAAAGACAGCGGCCAATACCAGCCCAACTTGTCCTCAGTTGCTCTACACCAACAGCTAACAGAGATCTGTGCACACAATCTCCTCCTCTGTCAAACCCACCAGGAGACAGGTGGTGAGTGTCTACATGCTGCCAAACTAGGGGACAGAGTAACAAGCCTACTCACTGACACTTATCAAAACAAAACGAAGGAAGAAAAAAACCCAAGTGAATCACACCAACTTGCAATCTGATCACAAATATAAATATGATGACATCACAATGTCTCGAAGACAACCAACAATCCCAGTTCACACAAAGAAGCAAGATAAAGTAGTACAAACAAGAGACCAGAATACAGAGCCAGGAAACCTCCCTGAGGAAGAAATGGCATTGGAACTACCTGATCAGCAATTAAAAATAATTATATTTAGGTATCTTCAATAGATTATGGGACAGATCAAGGAAACCACTGACAAAATCAAGGAAAATACAGATATAACTCTAGAAGAATTCAGGAAAACAACAGAGGAACAAACTAACAAAACAAATGAAAAATTAGAAACCATACAAAAATAGCAAGGAGAAATCAAGAAGATTAATACTAAGATTTCAGAAATAGATAACACATTGAAAGGACAAAGGAGTAGAACCTAATCAATGGAAGACAGAATTAGCAAGATTGACAGCAAATCTCTCAATACTATTTTGTTAAAGGAACAAAAAGAAAAAAAGTCTAATGTTTATATAGGACATCATCAAGAATAACTTATGTATGATTGGCATTCAGGAATACAAAAAGACAAAAAAAAAAAAAAATCAAGAATTTTACATCTAGGAAAAATAAAAAGTAAACATCACTCCAGAGGATATTCAAGTGGCCAACAAACATATGAAGAAATGCTCATGATCATTAGCTATTAGAGAGATGCAAATCAAAACAACAATGAGATGCTTGGTCACAGCCAGCTACCCAGAGGGACCGAGTAGTTGATCCTGCGGGCTTGCGACCATAGTCGCAGGGGACATCAAGCTCAATTGGCATAACATACTATACAAAACATTGTTCCACCTACTACTTTGGCGAGTAGCGACTGGGACCTTAAA